GCCCACTGCTATTGCTTCACTGGACATTTGGCTTAAAGATCTACGTCAAACAGAGAGATATAAGACAGGAAGAGTGTGGTCAGAAGCAGGTTGGGAACAGCCACAGCTAAGTATTGGCTGACTGTAGAAAAAAGCTCCAGACTTGTCCTGGGTAGCTGCTTTCTTGTGGCTTGAGTGCTTGGTGCTAGCTGCGGTGATGAAGATAAATAAAAATGAGGGAAGACCTTTCTCTATACTGTTCAGAGGCTGCAGTTCCTTGCTGCTCTATGAAAGTGGAGTGTTATCTGCTTTGCAGCAATTGTCACCTGACATACTGAAATCTGCATCCAGGATCTATGGGGCATCTTCAGGATCGATTATAGCTACAGCTGCATTGTGTGAGTGCAATATAGGTAAGGGCTATCCACTTCCATTTATTTGTCTAAAGAGATTGCATTTTGGAGTTTCAAAATATTTTTTTTTTAATTATCCTTGATCAGTGGTTAATTCCTCAGAATTTTACTTCACTGACTCCTTTAAGAGTGGAAAACATGACTAAATCAGCCAGCTCAGAGAAAATAGACTTGATACAGTTATTAAATAAATCATTGCATCTTACTGATTTGAATTAAAAGTTAAGCATGTCTAATATAAGGAACAGAAGTGCCCTCCCTAATAAGGCATTTGGGGTTGTTGGTAGAGTCTCAAAACACAGACTGAAAATATTGAATGTGGAGAGGATCAGTACTGCTGCTGCATGAAATAAAAAGCAAGTTGTAGTCACAAAGCTGAGAAATACATTAGGGGGCATAGATGAAGAGCCACCAGGAGGAAATGTTATGCAAAGGCTCCCTGTCAATTTTCTCCCATAACTCAAAAAAAAAGTTAAGATAAATTATGGAGGAAATTGAGAGAAATGGGGAATGAAAACAAAATACTACTTCTTGAAGTATTTGAGGTCCTTGGAAAGTCTCGGTCTGCTCATGAGAGGTTCAGCCCCAGTGAAAATAACTCCTAATAAATTTATGAGCTTTTACCAGCATGGTAAAATACCCCCTTACTGGGGGACTGCGTAACCCAGTACATAAAATAATAATATAAGGCATGTGGCGTGATTGTTTTGCTTTGCTTAAGAGGAGATAAAGAAGTTCTTCCCGAATGTTTTGAAAACCTTTACCTGGTGGTGTCTTCCTGGAGAAGGCGGCCTTCAAATCTTAAAGAATCTCTTAAACAAACATCTGCCTCCGAACGCCCACCAGCTGGCCTCTGGAAAGCTGCATATCATCCTCACCCGCCTGCGTGACTGGAGGTGTGTGGTGGTTTCCGAGTTTGCCTCGAAGGAGGACCTCGTCCAGGTGAGAGCAGCCACAGCCACCCTGTGGGGATGAGACCCACTGCCTGTCCCTGCCCCACAGCACCCACGGGGCAGCCTGGGGCTCACCCGGGTCCTGGACTTCAGTCCTTGCCAGCCTCTGAAGTCAGACAGGGTCACGAGTGGAAAATAATTTTTAAAATCAGCCTTTTTGATTGCTGACTGAATTATCTACAGGGTCCTGAGTATACAGGGAGAAAAATGAGGCATTTCACAGGTTGCCTTCCTATTTCTCCAACGCTGGCTGTGGATGTCAGCCGTGGTCTGGTCCGCAGTCATTGGTGGTGCCCAGTAACCCAGGTGTGAGTCCTGTTTTGGGGGGACATGTGCACGTCCCATTTGCCACGGTTAGTGGTTGTGCCAGTAGGTATAGTTACCATGTGGGAACAACTGCAAGGTCAAGCGAGAAGAACAAGCTCCAATCTCCAAACCCTAGAAAACAGGTAGAACGTCCTGGGCCAGAAAGACAAGATCTGGGATTGTTCTGCGGATGAATTATGTGACAACTTGGCAAATTGACTATTTGCTTACTCAACTTGGCAATGAAACTAACTTTTGAGTGTCTTAAAGTGAACTGCCTTCATTATAACACTAAAACACACACCCACAGGTCAAAAAGAGCCCTGCCCAGGTTAAGACCCTTCCCCTGAGCAGGCCTAGTAGTAGAAGCATTAGGTAAGCCGTATTATAATTGTATGTTAATCACTAACCAATCAGCATCTAATAGGCATGTTCTGGAAAAGTACTGATCTCTTGGTTTTGCGTATAAAAAGAGCATAAAAACCTGCTGCTGATGTGCTTAATTTGTGGAAAAGCCCACCGAGCACCCAGGCCTGAATAAATACAATATCTCTCCTGAGCATGTTAAGACTGGCTTATTACATGCCAGGCACGAATCCTCTGGGTAACAAGATGCGTTTCCATTCCCAAGGCAACAGGTTTTCGTGGCTCTTTGCTCACCTCTGTTCTTTGCATCTCATCTCACCCCCAGGCTATAGTATGCAGCTGCTTTGTCCCTGTGTATTTTGGATTTTCCCTGCCTGTGTACCATGGGGTGGTAAGTAGCCTTGTGGTCTGGAAACCTCAACCTGGGTCAGGCCAAAGGTCCCTCTAACCTGCGTCATTTCTCCAGTGGTGGCATTAAGCCTGTTTATACCCGTGTTTGCCACCAAAACCGCTTGGGGCTGTGGCATCTGCAGAGGGAAGAACTGAACTCAGGTGCCCCACAGTCCGATCTCGCTGCAGATGGAACTGCCCTCCTCACAGCACCATCCACCCTCAGCCATGGGTGTTAACCTGGGGTTAGCTCAACTCCTTTTTGCTGTGCTTTCCCCCAGTTTCATTAAGGAGTAATTTTTCAGCTGGAAGGGAGGAGGTGATGGGTGTAGACCTGGAGCACATGGGGCAGTGCTCAGGGCTGTTCCCTGGGAGGGGATCTCTGTAGCCCCAGTACCTCAGCCTAGTTTGGGACTGGGTAGGGAAGAAACCCCAAATGGATGCACGTGTGACACAGCACACTTCTCCCTGAAAAGAGCAACGCTCAGTGTTCCTTGTTTTCTCTCCTAGCGTTACATTGATGGGGAGCTCAGCATGTGGCGGGCCAACTTCGTGACCAGGAGCACGATCACCGTGTCTGGTTTCGCCGGCGAATACGACATCTGTCCCAAAGAATGTCCAGCTGCCTTCTTCAATTTCCAAATCTCTGATTGCATTTTACAGATATCAAAAAGAAACATCTACCGCTTACAGTGTATTTTTCTGCTTCCCACATGGCAAGTAAGCTGCTTCTACAGGTACCCAGAGCCATGAGACCACTATAACTGGCCTGTCTGCCCTAACTGCCACCTCCCCCCTGCAGGTTCTGGATCAGTTTTTTACCCATGGCTACCAGGACACGGTCTCCTTCTTAAAAAGACTGAGTAAGTGACTGGGAGTGAGGAGCAGGTAGGTCAGGTGCTTCTCCTACAACACTGGTTTGCTGACAGAAGGTAAGAGATGGTGCCAGTGCACCTAGAGTGACCAGGTCAGAGAGATCCCTTCATCCCTGGCATTGCCAGGATTACCTCAGTCCTATCCTCTCTGTGGCCTCTCCTGAATCTCCCTGTTCCCCCCTTCCCCTCTGATGACTAGGTCCCCTCTGCCACACGGGGCATGGTAGAACTTTCCAGGGAATGCAAGTCCCCAAGACTTCAACAGGAGAAGTGTAGGCTTGGGTGCCCTGTGTGGTGTTGGACTGATAACCCACTGATGCACAAGCCGCAATGTTTGGTGATCCCTGACCCAGGAACCCAACTCAGATTAGCCAGGCACTGTGGTCACCAGTCCCTCCATTTTCCAGTCAGCCCTGGTCATACTGGAGATCTGGTAGTTGAGCAACAAACAGTGAGAGCTGGATTCTCTTCTCACCAGGTACATTTGGTATAAATTACCTTGATGATGACTTTATGCTTTCATTGGCATCATGTCATAAAGATGAAGACACTGTGTACTGGAAGCCAGAAACAAGAGTACTTTGCTCCAGAGCCACAGACCCTGAGGAAGTTACTGAAGAGAATCCAGGGACCATCAGGGCAGGAGATGAAGAGGAAACCTCACAGCACCTTCACCACCAGAAAGGTAGAGGACCAGCACTTCCTTTACCCCATCAGTTTTTATTAGCTAAGTGACACTTGCCCAAGGCTCTCGCTGCCAGAAGAGGCTGTTGGGGTTTTTGCAGGCTCCAGTAGGTGAGAATGTCAGGAATGGGAGAGAGTCCCCTCTTGGGTCTGTGATTATTAGTGAAGCCTCATGCTGGACTTCTTTTGGGTGAGGATTGAGGATTTTGGCTGTGGCTGGGTCAGAAGGGCTCTTCGGAGAAGTAGCTCTATGAAGAAAGCCATTTGCTCACCTTGCAAGGTAGTAACCGGTTCTGCCCACACATCATTGCATTAAGGTGAGGGAAGGAGCAGTGTCTCAAGGATTAGAGCTGGGTTTGCTGTGCCCATCAAATCAGAATTTCTATTTAACAACTCTGGTGTGCAGCCATGTGTAAATACTTAAGTGCAAGAAGAGCTTATTAGAACTGCAGGTAAACCTCTACCTGTATCATTTTTAGGTAACATAAGGCAGGTTTAAATCCAGAACTTCTAGTTTTCTGCAATCCTATGCAAAATAATGCCCCCTCCCATTTCAGTTTTGACATGGAAAACCGGTGAACCCTCAGCATTTCAGATTCCAGTTTGTCTTACTGTTACTAGCAGATTACAAACAAGTCTGGGCTGGAGGTGCAACATTTCTTTCAATTTTATTATCTATTTCTTTTTCTTTCTGACTCTTTCAACATTTTAAAATTTGTTAGGAAAAATTACACAGCTTTTCCAACATGATGATAATTTAAAATGCTGCCACATAAATCAAATATAAAGGGAAAAAAAAGATCCAAATATTGCTCTGCTATATCTAGGAGGACCACACCAAATGAGGAATATAAAAGGGAAAAAACAGGACCATTACCATTCCAGATCTAAAAATAAAAGCCTGAAAAACATAATTGAAAGCAAAGAAAAGATTTCCATTGGTAGCAAGACAACTCTACTTATGGGAAGAGACCCACTCTGGGAATGAAGGACACTGTTAGGCTGTACGTTTTGCTTCCATGCTTGCTCTTGTGAAGGCTTCATCAGTCTGAACTACATGAGGCTTTGAGAGCAACATAGTAGGAACCAGGTTCCTTTAGAGGTTGGGCAGGCTCTAGGCTATCGGGAATCTCGGTGTCTGGTTTGCAGCTTTGGCTGCAACATTTTTCACCAAACTAAGGTCACCTGTGGAAGGACTCAAGACCCATCTGTTAGGCCAGAGAGCAGCCAAGAGGTAAATCAGTGCTCTTATCTCCAGAGGGAGAAGAACATCAAATTTTTCAGTTCTGGGAAGGAAAAGCCTTGATGATTTAGGCCAGGAAAAGGCTATTTTACTGTTTATCTGCACAATACTATAATATCATTGACATTTCCAAATAATCAAGGGTATAAAACTGGGAACAACTCACACCTATTTTCCTGAATAAATCAGAATATTTCCAAAGGACTGCTGCTGTGGTAGAACCTGCACACCAGCAAGGCTCAGGCTGGATTAGCAGATTAACCACAAGGTTGATCTTTATCCAGTGCCCAACAGGACGGCTCCACAAGGAGTTGCACCCTCCTCAGTGTCTAGACTAAAAGCAGAGTCTGGAATAAAGCACCTGTAGTCAACAGGCAGAGACACAGGCGGGATTGGACAGAGGTTTGTTTTCATTTGGGTCGGTTGTGTGGATCAGGCCCCAGAACTCCCATTCCCACTGGTGGTATCCAGCTTTAGAGAGAGCTGCTGCTGCCTTGGGTTGTCTCCAAACTCTCAGCCCATCCACCTCAGGCTTCACATCTCTGCTGAGTTCAGTGCAGACCAGGGCAAGCAACAGGATGAGGGATGAGGCCAATATTTTAAGGATACTAAAACCTTCTTGTCCTGTTACCATATAGACAACAGGAGGGAGGGAAGCAGCCCTAGGTCAGATATTTGACTCCAGTTTGTTTCACCAGAAGTGTCTGTCAGATTGACCGATATGGTTTTACTCCCTTTAGGGCCACGCCAGCCACAGAAGAGCATTTCTGACCCTGCTGCTGCCTTTGGCCGCAGTTCACATTTTAAAGAGAGAAACGCTGAGAGGCACCGAAGAGCACACTGTGACAGCAGTGTCACCAGCACAGGCAGGGCCACAACCACCCCCCTATCCCCCACAGACCCCAGGTGATTCCCATCACCCACCTTTAAAAGAGTCATTTCAGGCTGAAAACAGCATCTAGTGCAGCTGGTTTGAGCTGGGCGCAGCTGGGTTTCCCAACTTGCTTCTCTAAGGGTGAAACCAGCTCCTGCAACAAGGTGATTCAAAGAGGTGCCAAACTTTGCCCCTACCCATTGCCTCTGGCCATTCGATCCAAGTTCTTACAAAGGAAACAGCACCAGAGTGCTTGGTTGAAAAGATGGGGGATTAATAAAGCAAAAGAGAGTGATTTGAATGATGGGTCATTAAATACCTCTATCTTAGCACACTTCTGCATGTTTGGAGCAGGAGAGTTTGGTGCTGTGACCATTTTGGTTTGGGTGATCTTTGTAGGCTGTTTTTTGTGAAAGTTCTCAAGGTTTTACTACCTTCTCATGATCAAGGACTGTGCCGTGTAGGGGCAGGTGGGATGCGCTGGGTAGTTCAAACTACGCGCCTGCTTGTGGTTGAGATTTTCAGGCAAATTTAGTGGATGTGGATGCCCAATTCCTGTGTGAGAATTTTATTTTGGGGATTTTAATTCCCATTTGAATAGGGATAGTGTAACTGCCTGAGGCTGGCTGAAATGGTTATACCCTGCCTGGAGGTGGTGGTGCTGGCTAGGAAGACCAGGAGCCTGGTAGAAGTGCTGTTGCAGGAGTGGGGCTGTCTGCCTGGGAGGTAAAAGCAGAAGTGCAGCATGAGCAAAAGCAAATGAAGGCTGGCCTGCCCTGCTCCTGCCTGGGGAGCGGGGGGTGTCTCTGCTCTCTCCTCTTTGATCCGTGGCAGGAACATAGTCACGGTTCATGAGCTGCTTTTGGCTGCAGGGGTTAAGATGTAAGTAAATCCATCCAGGATGCAAGGAAGACAGGGGTAGGTTTTGATAGATCCCATACAAAGAAGCATCCTGGTCTCTCTTAGCAAGCTCATTGCAGAGATAATATTCCCAGGTCACTGATTTCAACCAGAGATAGCAGAACATATTAATCTCTCACCAAGCATTAATAGTTAACTTTGAATCTGTTTACATCGATGCAGATTTCCGCTGTTCCCCACATTCATGCCTGCAGTCTCCAGGGCACTTTGGATGAAACTTCCCTCTGTACCATTTCCCTTTGTGCAGTTATACGAGCTGTTTCTTCAAATAAACAGCTTGTGCTGTTGTGATCCATTTGCCCATTGGGAACCAACAAACGGGGGAGACTCAGCTGGGGTAAAGCCAATCCATCAGCCTCTGATGTGCAAAATGCATTTGGGACGGTTAAGAGTGCTGCCAATTTATTCTACATAGAGACCAGCAACACGAGGTGTGTTTGCCTGGGCTGTTTGTACGCTGGTTTGTAGCAGCGAGTTACAGAAAACTACATGAGAAGAACTAACGTACTTGTGAAACGTCAGCTCTGTTGGTGCAATAGGAATTGCAGTCTGCAAGAGTCTGGGTGCTTTGAAGGAGGAGGAGGAGGTTAATCTTTAGGTTTCTCCATCATTCTCCACAGCTGCAATTTCGGAGGGACCCAAGTGTGCACCTACCTCGGCTGGCAGGAGAAGCAGGCCTGTGAGGGTGCTTGAAGCTCAAGAATAGGTAATTGGTAAAATAACTTCAGGGAACTGGACAGAAATTGGTTCTACCCACTGTGATGCTCCCTAAGGCTTCTCCCTCTCTCTGTTTTCTGTTTGATGAATCTCTCTGAAAGTTTTTGAGTGGGAGGAAAACACTAAAAATGTGACATTTCCTGGCAAATGCCTGCCATGTAATCTGCTTTACAGCAGGGGGAGAGGTGCTGCTGGTGACCAGCAAGTGGGGAAACTGGTGGCTGGGCTGTACACACATGCAAGTGAAGAAGCCCTGGGCAGACTGGGGTCTGGTTGCAGATGCAGCACTGCAGTGCTTTTCCTCGGCCATCATGGTAAAACAGCTCAGGCCTGGGCACAGAGACTGCAGCAGCAGCACTGGAAACAAAATCGGCCGGTTTTCCCGAGTGAAGAAAAAACCCACTGCAGAAAAAAAAAAAACAACTCCATAAAAACCAAGCAGCCGTGCTGCTGTCTGAAATGAGCTCTGGTGTCACCCACCGCTTCCCGGGGCAGCAGAACCGCTGGTGCCAGAGAGCTCAGGGCCCATCCAGGGTGGTTACCTGAGGGAACAAGCTGGTGGTTAGTTGAGTCAGTGGCGATGAACCACCAGGGACAAGTAGCCCCCGGGGCGTTTGATGGTGAAGGGCTTTTTCATAGATGAGGAATTGTGTAGCTGCCCACAGTACGAAATCACTCTGTGCCAGTCTCTTCACCAGCTGCACGTGAAGTCACTTGCAAGCAGGTTTGGGGGGGG